TACACACAGACACATACATACACACACACACAGACAGACACACATATACAAAATATTTTAGTCACTCTCCAGTTTCCTACCTTTTAGGTGCAGGAGAGTGACATTCCCTGGGGTCCAGTGGTGGCTCAGGCTAATGGGAGTCAGAGTTCCCACTCTGACTCCCTCCTCTGCTTCCTCCTGCACGCGCTCTGTGTGATTGCTTGGAGGAGTGACCGGCTTGTCACTTCCTCCCAGCAGTGATGTCATCACAGGGGGCCCGGTTGCGCTGTTAAAACGCCAAGCGCTGACCGGGCCCCCTGAAATCCATATTCATTGGGTGGCCCTAACATGGGCCACCCGATGGACCCCTTGATTGGCAGCCCCCGCAAAACATGGCGGCTGGTACAGGGTCGCACGGGGCCGCAGGGTGGCTGGGCCCCCTGGAGTGACAAGCCAGGTCGCAGCTGCGACCCCTATATGTACGCCAGTGCTCCCTGTCAATCATTGTTATAAGCTCAGCACTTTGCATCTGGCAGTGAGCACAGAGAGAACATATAGAGAATGTTTCTGAAACAATGTTTCTCTTTCTTCTCCTCATTTGCAATATTTGCCTATAAACAAAGTAAAAAAAGAGACTGAAAGGCTATATTTAGCCTTTCATTTTACTTTGGCGGATAAAAAAGTTAAAACGGAGTAATAATAACATTGTACACATATACATACACATAGATACACACATATACACTCAGACACAGATATATATACACATACATACACACAGAGGTTTAAACTTTGAGAAACATACACAGACTTACACATACAGGCACACACTCTTCGATACATATACATACTATATATTCATACACACAGTCAAAAATACACACTTGGGCAGTTATGTCATTAGATTATATTTTATCTGACGTTTTGGACCTCTTCCTCTATGACCCATTTAGCAAAGCAGCTCAGCTTATTTCCCCTAGCCACTCTCAGCCTCCAAGACTCACCGGCATTGTCTGTGTGATTGCTGCTCTCTGTTGAATTTTATTCCTGATGCTCTGTTGCAGATGTAATAACATGAATCAAAACGTATGGTAAAGGAAATTATTTTAAATATATTGGAAGCCACAGACCTATCTCCTAAGGTGAAGGCCTGGATATTTAATGCATCCTGGTATTGGGCTGCACTACAATTACTGAAAAAGTTACTGGGTCCTGATCCCACTTGTTCCTCCAAAGACACAAGTTGGGAAATGGATGATAATGTGCAGGAGCCAGCTTGGCACGTTAGATGCTGGGTCCTGTGCCTTCTGCATGCTTGCCTTAGCTTGACACTGGGCTGAGGGAAGTTTATTTTATGTTATTATTTTGGGATGGGAGATCAGAGGCGGATCCAGAACCTAATCTCAGGAGGGGCACTGGTAGATTATTTAAAGAAACAATCCAGGCACAATAACCACTACAGCTCTCTGTAGTGGTTATGGTGCCAGGAGTTCTGTTGCGCCTTCCCAGAGTAAGTAGTCAAACCATTTAAGAACAGTTCGACAACTTACCTGGGCTCTGCCAGGATAGGGGGCTTTAGTAGGGGGTAGGGGATGTAGTAGGGGAGAGGGGCAGTATAGTGTGCGTTTGTGTGTGAGGGTTGAAGTGTGTGTGAGGGGTGAAGTATGTGTGTAAGAGGTGCAACTGTATGAATGCGGGACAGTGTGTGTGTGTGGGGCAGTGTATAAAAGGGGGACAGTGTGTGCGTGGGGGGCAGTGTTTGTGGGGGCATTTTGTGAATGGGGGCATTGTGTGAATGGGGACAGTGTATGTGTGTGTATGGGGCAGTGTGTGTGTGGGGGCAGTGTGTAAATGGGAGAGTAGATTGTGAATGGGGGGTCAGTGTGTGAATGGGAGACAGTGTGTGTGTGTTTGGGGGGGCAGTATGTAAATGGGAGGGTAGTTTGTGAATAGGGGGTCAGTGTGTAAATAGAGGACAGTGTGTGTGTGGGGCAGTGTGTGAATGGGGGACAGTGTGTGTGTGTGGGACAGTGTGTAAATAGGAGGGTAGTTTGTGAATGGGAGGGCTGTGTGTGGGGGGGGCAGTGTGTGAATGGGGGGTCACTGTGTGAGTGTATAGGGAGGTATTGTGTGTTGGGGGGCTGATTAAAACAAAAGTTATTTTTTTTAAATTAAAATATATATATATGCTTTATATCCCCCCTCCCTTCTTACCTTTGCCCAGGCAGCAGGGATGGGGGATATTGATTGTGAATCCCTGGCGGTTCTAGTGGTGAGAGTGAACACTAGCCTGCAGCTCCTGGACTAGAGTTCACTCTCGTGAGAACAGAGCGTTGACGTGGTAACCGCAGCAGCACAATGTCTTGGATCAACCTTGATCATTCAGGAGTCAGGACCTATTGTCAGGTTAATTTATAAAACTGCCAATTTCTATCAATATCTGCATGTTTTGACAAATGAAAAAAGAGGACACACTCTTCACACATAAAGCACTTAAGCAAAGCTAAAGTGTTTTAGGAGTCTGGGAAGTCCCTTTAGTTGTAAACCTGAACCTATGCACCTATAAACATACATTTATGTTGTTCCAAAAGTGGAATCCAGTTGAGTATTTCTGCTGTTTTTGTGTGATATTAATATCTAGAGATATATTTTTGTAAAAGTGTACGCACAAGACAAACATCTCAACTTTCTCTGGAAGTTATAGAATTAGCAGCAACATTCTGTAGTTTTTATATTCAAGTTTGTATTACATATTTATATATTTTTTCAAATGGTGACTGCACCCCTTAAAGTACTTTCCTAAAATTTAAATTTCAGACACTTTTGTAAATATACCTATTTGTCTCTTTATAATACACTTTTAGCCTCCATATTACACTCTTATTGTAAAAGCCGTAAAATGTATCAAAATGTTATTACACTCCATCTTTATTTGCTTTATCGATGTCAGCAGATCACCAATGTTTGAAGAGTGTTTCAATTGCCTTGTATTGAGAATACAAACACTGCATCTCTTTTTGCTCACATACAAATCAGTGTTTTTTTACACTGTGTAACCAAATCCCAAATGGCCTTCTCACTGCAGTTTGTTTAATGATCTGCATCGGAGCATGGGGTGGGTGTTTAAATCTGCACCTTTTTCCTAGGAAAAAACTGCATACTTGATACGCAATGGACAATACCCAGAAACCGTCATTACTCCAAGGACCTACCAAGGCTTAATTAGTGCTTTTAAGGCAGAAACAGATTTTCCAAATGACAAACTCTAAGCTGCAATAGAAAAACAGCATTTCCAAGAAACATCCATATTTCTCATATTTTGTGTGTCCTGTATGTGATCAAGGAACGGTTGGACCGGTTTGATATTCTGCTAGAATGCCTTGACCGGTGTATAGTCGCCATATGGGCAGTCGGAAGCTAGGACAAAACCCCCACATACCTAACCCAATAACACACTGACACTAGGGTATATGGGTAAAATTGTCCACAGCTTTTATTAACCATTATAATAATAAATATAATAAGTTTATCATTAGTAATAACAATCATAACAATATAATAATAATTTAACATATAAATATGGGTCATTGCCCCCATACTCCGCCCTCGCATCCGCATCCTTCTTTTAATATAATGGGCAATGACCCCCAACATACTAACACACATATATATATATATCTAACAATTTGCAACCTTACTCCAACATAACAATTTAAGTGCCAACCATAAATAACCACGGCAGGGGTATACCCAGATACCCCTACCCCACCAGGTTCTGAGCCACCTCCAGGACTTGAAACCTACCAACCACCAGTGACCACAATTTCCATGTCCGTGACGTTCCTCATGGGAGCCTATTTCCTCTTCCTCGGCTCCCTATCCCGCCACGGGCACAGACCTTGACCCCTTAAGCTGTCTGAGCTCCCCCACCCCGGAGAAAGAGTGCCCTTTGCATCCCCTCCTGTAACCCCAGGTTCAGCAGGTCCCAACCTACTGCCGACAGGTGAATGCCATCCGGGTGATAATACCCTGGCAAACCACCTTCCAATTCCCCGTGCCTTACCACTGCCCCTCCCAACTTCCTCACGAAGTTCGCCATCAGGCTGTTAACTTTACCCCTACATCTGTCCAAGGCCAGAGGGTCCCGTGCGTGTCTCCAGTGTCGCCGCGGGACCATCTCCGACCACACCAACATTACCCCGGGAAGCAGATCAACCAGCCTGTTAAGGTCCTGCTTCATCCACTTGACTAGCCTCCGTTGTGGTATGAGGCCCAAGTCGTTGCCCCCTGCATGCAGTACCAACATGTCGGGCCTCACCCCGCCTGCCACCATACGGAACACCACCCCGCATACATCCCTCCAGCAATATCCCCTGTACCCGAGCCATCGCACCGCCAACTGGTCCGTTGGAAAGCCCAGCTGCTGGCCTTGCGCTCGAGCTGCAGCCCTCCTGGCGGCCCAGAAGACAAAGGAATGGCCCACGATCCATGCGACACGACCTGGGGAAGGAGGAAAGACAGAGTATAAATACCCCCCGTGCCCACCGGAGTCCCCCACGGGCCCTGGCTAGTGATCCAATAAACCCAAGCGAATGTACGAGCGAAACCGGACAGACTCCCATCTCCTGATCCTCTTGACCAGCTCGTCCCCAAGCCCCAGGCGCGCAGCCTCCGTGGCTGCCCCAATGCAAAATGAGTGGGTGCCGTAGGTGCTCGCACATAACCCCAACCTTCCTAAGCCCAACCGGAAAACTTTATTAAATTGGAAGCGGGAGAGCGACGAGCCGTCCGCATGCACCAAGAACGACCCGTCCACCGCCGGCCTCTGCTCCAAGTAGTGCGTTACCGCAGCCACTGGACACAAGGTTGAACCTGGTAGGGGGCCCAGGGTCACGTCCCTACCTGCCCCCTGGACGTCAGTCTTGGACCTGGCCAGGTGTACCACCAACTTCCCACAGAGTGTGTGAACCCCTGATGCCTGTATGCCCCCTGACGCCAACCGCGTCCGACCCAAGGAGCGCATGCCAGCCTCCAAGGCCTCCCGCTGCCTGCTGTTCTGCCGCTGCCATCCTGAGGCCCCGCCCCGCGGCTACGACTCCTACCATCTCCCCCTGAAGCCTGCCCCCGTCGACCATGCCTGGGGGACCTTGACCTACCCCCCGCTGAACTACCGGACGAAGACCTACGGTGCCGCCGCCTCTCAGGATGCCCACCTGCCCTAACGTCCCTAACCGGGGAGAGGCTATCGCCACTAGACCTGGAATCCGACCTATCACTGGACCTGACCCGCCTAAGCCTCCCCCTCCCAGCCCCTGAGCTACCGCGGGCCCCTCCATCCTCACCTCCACTGAGCCCAGAAAAACTGCTCCTACGCCCCCCTCCCCTTACCTCTGTTGCCCCCTGCCCTACCATCCTCCCAGAACCCCAGGGCCTGCCTGAATACGATGCCTGCTCCCCACTTACCCCCCCTGGCTCCCCCTCTCTGGCCTCCCGGCTACTGGACCCCCGTGCAGCGTCAGCCTGCCCCCCAACCTCCCCCCTCCACCTGCGCCTAACTGGCCCCCCATGTGGCCCTTCCTCTCCCGCCACCGGACTCCTAGGGGAAACTCGCCCTCTCCTTCCCCCTACTGCCCGGGCACTGTCCCCCAGCTGCGTACCCCCCGCATCCAACACGCCAAGGGGGCCCCTTGGAGGGCCCCCTGCACCTGCCTGCTGTGTCTGGCTCGCCCGGGGCCTGCTCCGGGCCGTCCTGCCCCTGGCCCCGTCCCTTTCGGCCTCCAGTGGTGGGGGCACCCTCCCGGGCCACGCCCCAGTCCTTCCTGGCCCTGGAGAGGGCCTTTCGTCCGCCACTTGTGTTCCCGCTCCTGGCGCCACCCCACCTGCTCCAGGGGGCGTGCCGCCTGCCTCCCGGGCCGCCGCCTGCCGTGAAGCTCCTCGCCGAGGCCCTGGCTGCTGCCCGCTGCCTCCAGCCTGCCGGTGCCTCCCTCCTCCGGTCCGGTCCCAGGACTTAGGCGCCGTGGGGGCCTCCTGGCCCGCGTTGGCCTCCCTCCGCCGACATCCCTTCCTGCCGCCGCTGTCAAGAGTTGGTCCAGCTGGGCCCGCACCCAGCCCGCTCCCTGTCGCAGTGCTGCCGCCCGGACTCCAGCCAGCAACCTCTCCACGTCCTCCATGGCCCTGCAGAGGAGAGAAAAAAGAGAAAGCCCTACCCAGCAAAGCAGTGAGCACCAGGGTGTACACAAACTCAGCCAGGTAAGAAATTAAAATGGCTGCCTACTTAAGTAGACCAACCCCTTTCTCCCACAATCCACCAGTCCTGGCTGGCTCCTCCTAAGCCCGCCTCCTAACCCCTGTCAAGGCCCTCCTCCACTAAGCTGTGCTTTGGCTCCTTGGGGCTACAATCTCTGCCTTAGTTAGAATTTCTAATATATGTCACTGAATTAGTTCAGAGCTTTGCAGTTTATAGTGTTATTTCATAAACAATGACTTAAAGGACCACTATAGGCACCCAGACCACTTCAGCTTAATGAAGTGGTCTGGGTGCCAGGTCCAGCTAGGTTTAACCCTTTTTTCTATAAACATAGCAGTTTCAGAGAAACTGCTATGTTTACATTAGGGTTAATCCAGCCTCTAGTGGCTGTCTCATTGACAGCCACTAGAGGCGCTACCGCGCTTCTCACTGTGATTTTCACAGTGAGAAGACGCCAGCGTTCATAGGAAAGCATTGAGAATGCTTTCCTATGGACTGGCTGAATGCGCGTGCGGCTCCTGCCGCGCATGCACATTCAGCCGATGACATCACTATGGAGGAGGAGAGGAGGAGGAGAGTCCCCGACCCGGCGCTGGAGAATGAGGTAAGTTTAACCCCTTCCCCCCCTAGAGCCCGGGGGGAGAGGGACCCTGAGGATGGGGGCACCCTCAGGGCACTATAGTGCCAGGAAAACGAGTATGTTTTCCTGGCACTATAGTGGTCCTTTAAGGCTTGCTAAATCTCTCTAGCTGCAAGCAGCTGTAAATAATTTGCATTTCAGCACGTGGTATCTAGAAAATATCTCCATAGATGACACTGTGTTATGTATTTTAAAGAGCAAAAACAGCTTTGAAATAAAAGATGCATGAAAAATAATTCACAAGTATACAGAGTTTTGTTAGAGTGGATATAGGAATGGGTTTAAGGGGTAATTGATACAGCCTTAGCTGCATACGTGCCAAGTGACCTGATTTAATTTGAACAGTCCCAACCACAGGAACACTATTCTGTTGTCCATAGTATTGATTCATTTGTCAAAAATGTTTATGTCCAACAGTAACAATAAAAGTATAATGCTGTATTACATGCATTGCAGAGGCAGAAATAGATGTATTACATAAGTAGAGGAAGTTGAGATGTATCATTGCGGTGCAAAAAATATACTCAAAGTGTGACATCATCAGATGACATCAGCAAGGTAGTTATCCCTGCCTATGACTTAGTATAATTGTATTCCCTCAAAAAAGCAACAACAGTAAATGTGTGTGAATTTGGTAAAAGTATGTTCTCTTTTGCAAATCCTCACTCATATTTAAGTTAAGCTCATTTTCAATTGGAACCAAACCCATTTGGGTCATAACATTGCAGTTTTCGTGCATGCTCTTTTTACATCTGACTAAAATCCCAACTTCAAAGTCTTATGCCTTAAACGTTTGTGTTCAGGTAGACCTAAAGGTCCATTAGATAAAAATCTGACCTTGGTATTAATATTCAATGGACATCTCTAGAGATTGTCTAAAATGACTTTATGCTCAGTAAAGTCTGATATCCCCAGAATGTTTTTGTTTATGACTCACAAAAACCAGGGGGACACTGTCCAAAAAGTGTATACAAAAGGATGTGCGGTTAAAAAGAGGTATATTCTCTGTTAAAATGCCAATTTGTAACAATTCCAAGAAATCTTATTAATAATAACAGTTTGTTGATCAGGAGAAACCTGATTGGCATTTAAGAGGCAAAAACAAAAATATTTTTTTTTCAGTTTTTCAGCAAATATAATGATCTCAAGAAGTTGTTTTGGATTAACAGTAATAACACATACCTCCCAACATGTCCCATCTGTAAATTGGGACAGGTGGGCAGAGTTTGGAAGACGCCTCACCAGTTGCGTGAGCTGTGTCACTAGCGACAGTGGGGAAGGCTACTTAGGAGAGGGCAGTCTCCTCCTCAAAAATGTGTGGGCCCACCACCTGACAAGCAGCCTCGTTGGCCCCAGCTATCATGACCATGCAAGGAGTGCTTCTGAAGTGCTCCCTGCATGTTTCTAGTGCCCGTTCCACAATATGAGCGTGTCTAATGATTGGCTCTCACTGTGCTACCAGTGGACAGTTCAAGTACACCAGGGAACCAAAGCGGGATGGCGGGACAGCACCTCAAAATCAAGACTGTCCAGTGGGACATTTAGGAGGCATGATAACAGGCTTGCATAAGATTGAACTTGATATACTAAAGCCTTTTTTGCATAAATTAAAGGGACCTGTCATTTCTTTTTCCTTTTGTTTTTTTAATCATTAAGCCCCCTGTATCTTAATGAGTACACCCCTAACCTTGTCTCCTGCTTTTATATTTGCTATCCTTTTTTTCTCAGTCCGTACCTGCGTGCAGCCATTTTATTCTGTACATGATATCTGCTGTTTGCTCTTCTGTGGGAGTCATTTTTCTGATGAATTGTGGGCAAATGTGATTGCCACCTGAAACCTTGCTTTAATCTCCACCCATTTTCACATTTTATCAACCTTACTACTAGTAGTCTCTAATTTTATTCATGTATTTAACGAAAACCAGAGCGCTCAGGATTCAGAAACAGATTAGAGGAAGTTTATTTTTGGTGGCAAAGCCGTCTTAATAAATTCAAAATATTTTATGACATTGTAATACTAACTTCATATATCCCTGCCAAAATGACATCAGAAACTGATGAGAACAGCTTCAGATAGTTCTATATTATTTGTTCAGAACATTTTGTATACCATTTGCATAATTTGGTTTTAGTGTGATATATGCGATGTATGTAGAATTTTAGCAGTTTATTCACTTCTATAATGAACAGAGCCATACCTAAAAATGTAACATAATTATTATGCTGTATCCTTGGTGTGTGCTTCAAATAAACATGTTTCCAGAATATAAAAAAATATCAGTACATTATTATTATTATTTTGGGGCAATGGGACGTAAACAGGACATGTGAGAATTATCAGCCTGCAGGCCTTGAGTTGTAATCATAATGATTGATGCTTAGCAATCTAAAGGGGCTCTTCTTGGTTATGATTATTGTGCTGAAGAAATTATGCTTAATGTACTGCTCTGATACAACTTCATAAAAATAACAATACAAAAATATATATTTTTAATAACATAAAAAAAAGCTACAAATGGCTGAAGGCTACATCGACTGTATTCCAGCTTTGTGTTTGTGTGTTTATTGATTTGTAGGACACTGCAACAAAGCTTCACAGACATAACAGACATAAAATAGAGTGTACATAATATGTACTCTCAACGTTTAAAAGCACTCTACTAGACTTGTGCAAAGATTTGTTTCAGCCGGTTAACATGCCTTTTAATCCACGCCTGAACTAATCGATCTTATTTAATGAATACAACTCCACAGGTAAATCCTGGGCAGATCCATTTCACGTGATGAATAAAAGGTATTTGATTCAGACAAACTGGCTGAAATGAATTTTTTAATTTCTCTGTGTATTCATTGAAGATGTTAGTGCATATAAATAATTATGGGGCCAATTTAATATTATTGAAAAAAAAAACATTCGCAAATTTCTAACCAGCTTCGACATCAATTTTTTTCAAATTTCGACTTGAGATAATACCATTTTTTCTATATGAGTTTTCACCAGCTGAACTTCATAATCGTCTGGTCGAAATGGAATTCAAAATACAGATAAGGCAACAGATGTAGGATAAACCTACACTGTTACAACTAAATGGTTTACTGAGGTAATGAAGGGCATGGACCCGATAAATGTAGATACTTAGAAAGGAATGGGTTAGGTTACACCCTAAATATAGAGGTAACCCACTCCACTAGAATAACCTCTAAAAGTTAAAATATCATCTTTGCAGACCCTTCCTTCTCCTTGCAGACCCTTCCTGCTCATTTCTGTTCCTTCTCCTACTTCATCTTTGTGCTCCTTTTGTCCCTTCCTGCTCCTTGCTGCCATTCTCAGCTCC